ACACTTGCTCTTCAGCACCCACACGTACATTCCGTGGAGCCCCAGCACGGCCTTTCCGACTAGGTTGAAAAGATCCATCTTCTCTTGCTCGATGTAACAATCGGTGAAACACTTGTTGGTCTGGGTGCCGACGATTATTCACGGGGCTCTAAGAAAATGACTTCTAATACCTGCTTTTCGGTAGCTACTCTATGTAGAATAGTAATAAATGTATTATTTGCCTACGATGAAATGAAACAGCTTCTCTTATGACATGTACAGCCCAGTTAAACACAATTTAACTAGAATGGCAGCAGAAATAACTTCTGTTCCATGCTACTTGCCTCAAACTAAACCTTGACCTCTCTGTGTACATTAATCAGTCATCTTTGGCGCAGAAGCGTCTCTTCAGATCAGTGATGAACTTCGTGACAGTTTATGACAAACAATTGTCAAAATGATTAAATTTATAACCATACTTCTGTTTTCTTTGTTGACGGAGGGGGATTCGGAAAAAATTCATTCAACTTTAGTATTACCCGATTTTTTGTTCTTGGCATAGGTAACTTTGAACATAGAAACGTTCGGATATAAAAGCAGCCTCTCTATTGGTCAACTTAATCGCCTTCCAGTTCTCACACGGTTAAAGCCTGGACAATTCTTTTTGCGAATTACGGCACAGTTCGGGACAGGGAACATGTCATTCACGGGAATGGCGCGAATTCTGGGACACCCTGTATATTCAATGCTATCTGTATCATAATATACTACACTTTCTCGTAATATGCCTAACATTTCATATAATCTTAGTCTTGCATCTGCAGGTGTAAAAATAACTATGAATATATTGGTATTGAAATCATTTTCTACGTAGCAACCTTTAGACTTATAATAATCAGTTTGTAAGATATTTTCATTAATTTCATTTATATATGTATATATATTTGTAGCATCAAGTCTACCATCTAATAAAATTTCTTAACTTCTGTAACATATTCTATTGCCCCCATATTTTATCTCTGACAAAATTTACCCCCTACGGAATTTAAGCATATTTTTGCTTCAGCTCTCTTTCCAGGACTATTTTATATTTTACCCAATTCTACACCTACATTATCTTTTACAGCTTTTCGATACCCATTTTTCCACTTGAGTCAAAATTATTTCTTCATTCACTTGTCTCTAACTTTATTTTCATAAATATTTTTACATATCCTTTAAAAAATACCTAACTCGAACTATTTTCAAAATGTCAAACGTCGTATATTTATTACTCCTATTTTATAACCTTTTTCTACAGCTTTCTGTACTTCATTTGTACACAATATTCCTCTCATAATTCTTTATTTTCGGTAAGATCACATATATTCTTATTTAATTTACATAATCCACATAATGGAAATGTCAACTTTCCTGCACCAGATTTATATTCGCTTTTAGCAACTCTTAAAAGAGATAATATACCCATATCGTCAAAAAAAAGTTATTCAAATTTTTATTGTCGTCCGGTGAACGATTAGAAAAAATTGGTCTAAAGAGTTTAGACAGTACTTCCCTCGCTATCGGAAACGTGACGACTGCATGTCTATTATGTTTTTTTTCGCAGTAGATTTCAAAGCATTCGGTTTTGTAGTTCCTGAGTAAACCAATAAAATAAATTTACGCATTCATTTTTTTTTTTGAGTCACCCGGTATATGCAAATTCAAAAAATACGAATGGAATGATAAATTACAAGTACAGACTCATATTTTGTATATTCTAGATAGGATTTATTCGGCAAACTTTTGAGCTGACGTCATGAGTTTTTTTGGAGAAGATAACCAAATATGTTTTGACTAAAAATTTATTATGCTCTTTATAACCTTAAAACATTTGCAAGATTTCAAAACCTTCGGTTCTGTAGTTCCTGATTAAATCAATAAAATACAATTAAGCATTCATTAATTTTTTTGGGTCACCTGTATATGCAAATCCAAAAAATATGAATGGAGTGATAAATCACAAGAAGAGACTCCTCATATTTTGTACATTTTAGACAGGATTTATTCAGCAAAATTTTGTGGTGACGTCATAAATTTTTTAGGGGGGATGAGCAAATACATTTTGATCAAAAACTTACCATGCTTATGACAACTTTAAAACATCTTCAAGATTTCAAAGGATTCGGTTTTGTAGTTCCTGAGTAAATCAGTAAAATACATTTACGCATTTATTAATTGTTTGAGTCACCCTGTATATGCAAATCCAAAAAATATGAATTGAGTGATAAATCACAAGTACAGACTCATCATATTTTGTACATTTTAGATAGGATTTATTTGGCAAACTTTTGAGCTGACGTCATCAAATTTTTGGAGGGGATAACCAAATATATTTTGACTAAAGATTTATGATGCTCTTTATAGCTTTAAAACATCTGCAACATTTCAAAACATTCGGGTTAGCAGATTCAAAATTAAATTGCAAAATGTTGTTTTATAATTTTGATTTTTTTTTCCAAAAATCTGGACGTTTCGGGTAAAAACTCAATTCGGAGTCGTAAACTACATGTGTAGGACTATGTTATTTTATACAATTTAAAACCCATTTACTATGTACAATTTTGAAGTGACGTCATCGCATTAGTGGTGGGGATGATTAGACAAATTTTGGTTAGCGTTTTACCATCTACATGATATTCCAAATATAAGTACAAAATTTCACAACAATCGGTCCAGTACTTTCGGAGATTATCTGTCTAATAGAAATCCGCCGTCCCGGACAGACGGAAATGGGAGACCTATTTCTTCGTCTTCTAGGGGTCATGAAAGATCGAGAAAACGTAAAAGTAGAGAGTCGGCCGACGGACTCGATTACAATACTTCCTTTGCTTACGCTCGGTAAGTAAAAATGAAACGAATTTTAATTTTACATAGAAAAACGCGTAAGAAGCACTAAAAAAATGTTCCACAGATTTCTGTAGACAGAAATTTCAATCACGTCTACAAATATTTAACCTGCCTAGAATACATATGTAGAAGGATCTAACTCTTTATAAAAGCCTCATGTATTCGGAAAGAATGGATACTTGGGTCTTTCTCTTAAATCTTTCTTCGTCTTTCTTGACTTCTCGATGAAAAAGACTATCAGCAAAGAAATTTAAATGAGACATAATTTGTGGAACGTTTGTTTCCTAAAAATTCACTGATCACTAAGCTAATTGATTCCCAAGTAAATTTTTCCGTATCATTCAAATGGGCGTAGAACATTTAATCCTTCATTCGAATTTCAGGCCCAATGAAAATTCCTAAATACAGAAAACGTACATAATATGAAAACTGAAATTCACTATATTTTAGTTTTTACCTTAGATTATGTTAGCAGCAGAAAGCTTAGGAAATATTGTTTTCAGATGTTGAAATGCTTTCTCTCTTGTATTTCACTTACATAAGAAGCACATATGTGTGGTATGTCCAGATTAGAAGCCAGTTACTAAAGCTACAATTTTTAAACCTATCAAATTGCACTCAACTTTTTGTCGTTAATACAGATTAACAAGTGTTGAATATTCTCATGTTTCTGCAGTTTGTATGGAGTATGCAGTCGTCAGTACTAGATATTTATTCCCATTATGCAATAGCACACATTTAACTGCAACTATCCATGAACAATCTCCAAAAAAATTTTTTTTTGACAACGTAGGCATAATGTCTTATTAGATAGTTATTCAGGACAAAATAACCTTTCAGAATACATTTTCAGAATACTTGTAACAAAAAATTTTTCTAAAATTGTTCGACTGTGATAATTATTATTACATTGAATTGCATGAATGTACTATGAAAGCCAAACGCGGAATTATTAACGAACTATTTCCTAATGTTTCAGCTGATGCAAATGGTGTTTTTCGATATAGAAATGGCATATTGTACTTTTTTAAAAACAAGCATAACAAAGCGATTTTGTACGAATATGAATTTTCATATACGTTAATAGAAGCTGATTCATTTGATTTTAGTACTTTCGTTCACTGTCCGAATTTAAGTATATTGGAACAACTGAAAATTTTATTACACAGACTGGCTTGTTATATGTAGTTTTGAAACTAATTAAAAATCAATCGACCAATAGTCGGATTAATACGCTTCGCTTGTTTTATTTGAAGCGTTCGGTTGCTCTGCGACTGTCGCCTTCTTGTGTTTTGTTTTGCAGAACTGCAGTCTTGGTACGTGTAAAACAATGATGAAAAACAATATTTAGAATTTTATTTTAGATAAGAGGGATTTAAAACAGCTAATTGACGATTTTCGTCGGTTTCAAGCATACCGCAAACGTGTTAAGAAGCATAACAAAACTATAAAACTGTCGCATTTAGCAGGTCACGTATTAATTTCGGACAAGGTGTACCTCTAATTTGGGCTCAAACAACAATCACCGAAGCCCAATCTATAATTATTATTAGAGAAACTAATACGACAAATGAATTGCATCGCTACCGGCCGACCATTTACAAAGAAGAAATACTAATTTTCGAAAACAACGCGCAAAGAATAGAGTCTGAAGTTGGATTTAGACATTTTATGGAATATAGATAAAAAAGCATTTATCTAAAAATAGTCTCCACGCTTGAATTCTGCATTCTTTTCGTTTTTTGTACCTCGCCAACTAAGCTTTTTTCTTTGCAGTAACACTGAAGTGGATTATTGGCTTGAAGCGAATCAGAACATTGCTTATATCATATGTATCATAATAACTAGATTAATTCATTTTGTAATGTATTTTTTTTATTTTAATTACATTAATATTCTTTCTTTTGTACAAATATGTACATGAAATGGTTTGAAATATTTGCTTTTTTAATATATGTATCTTAAAAATGTGTGTTTTTCTTCAAAATATTAATAATTTGTTCAGAACAAAATCATTTTGTTTTGTAAATCTTTATTATAAAATGATTCTGTTTTTTACCTAAAATTTCTTTAATTATAGTTAATTTTAATGATTATAAAAACTATTGATTTTGCTTTTTTAAAGATACCTTTAAAAACAGGGTACAATCCTTTTAAAAAAGTGTTGTGTTCAGTAGGGGCCCTCTTAGTAGTTACTTATACACAATTATAGCAATAAATTAACAATTACTATTTTTCACATCTTTTTAAATTAACTCACTTATCATTAACTTACCTGATTTTAAAGGACTTGACTGTCTTTCTTACACCAGCCAATAACTTTTAACTACAACTTAAGAGAAAAACTGTTAGTTAAAACACAACGGAAAAATAGACACTTAACCTTAACCCTTGTGTTTCTAGTTTACTGTATAAATAGGTCCTCTCTTTGATTTCTATTACGTAGTTCCAATTTCTCAAGTCCATTATGCTGAAAATGAAAAAAAAAACTTTTAGCACGACGTCTGTGCCACTTAATTTCAAGGTGAATATAGGTACACAGTTATATTATTTTTTATTGAAAAAGCTTGAATACATACATTCTGACAGCTGACAGTTTTTGCAGTTTAAAAACGTTAAAGATCAAAGCAGTCAGAATGTATTTGTCTGTTTTATACTTTCAGTTAAACTACATAATTTTGTAAAATTCTTTCGCGAAATACCTTAATATTTACACCATGATCTCCTACTCCACACATTCATTTCTCCGTTATTCTGTAACAAAAACAGAAGTGTAATAAAGTCTACTGTGAAATCTTGGTTCATGCCATCCACAAGTTTTCTGAAAGTTATGTCTGACATGAACCACGCCTATACATAAAAATCACGATAAAATATTAATGTTTTTATTTGTTTTTATAAATATGTACTCCACATTGTGAACTTTTTTACAACAAATATTTCAATCATTAATAATCTACATTCTTAATAAAATACAAGTCTAAAACACAGACTTATAAAGGATTTAAAAAAATTTCGGCCTGTCCTGATGTGTTTACCTCACTAGACCAACCCTCATATCTTGTCCTGGATAAATGGATGCGTTAAAGCGTTGTTTAAACTAATTCTTTTGGCTGGGTCAATTGTCAAAGCTTTTTCCAACATATCTTTCAGTTGGGTTACTTTACGCAATTGGTCTGGTGGTAAAGCTTGTCCTGCCACGAGTTCAGATTGTAGATCTCTGCTTAACTTTACAACTGACATGACCACCACTTTTTCCTAGTAAAAAAAATCTATATTAGAACATGATACGTTTAAATTTAAATTTTACATTGCAACTAAACTGCGCGTCACTTTCCCTATCTTTTGACGCGCAGTTTGTAATCAATTTAATTCTGCGTAAAATAGTGTAAAAAAAGCAAAACACGCCGTCAATTGCCGAAGCTACGATAATAAACCTCCCCCCACCTGGGCATCAACTACTTATTTGGTTTTTAACGATCATTATCCGCAATTGTGAAAGGATAAAGAAACATCCCACTTTCTTGTTAAACTTGGTTAAAACCTTCAAGTCTTCTTCTAAAGGATTGGTGGAACTACACGAAATGGGTGCACCAAATAAAATTGTTTCCACCCAAAGTTAAAACTGGGCTGGAAGATTGAAAACAGCCCAAGTCCACTGGGCCCAAATTACTTTTAGCAGGAAGACAAAGCAAAGTTTGCGGAAGAAAAGATATCAGTTTCTTCGATAGAATTCTATACCAAGGAACGACAAAATGAATAGTGCATACAAATAATGAAAACAAAATTATTATTTTTAAATTCAACGTTATTCTCTTTTTTCTCCGGAATTTGTAATTTTCCATAGTCACATTATTTTTTTCAAAACAACAAACTGCCCCTAATTTTTATTCAAGTAGAGTTACACAAAGTTATCGTGAATCTTTTTAAACACTTTGGTAGCATTAAATATATTCCGATGTCATTTCAAATTTCTGTGTCTTGTGCCAGATAACCACTGCATTGTACAGCGTGAACCTGATTCCTTTTGATCAAATGCGCTATGTACTTATAGGACGTTGTTACCAGGGTTTAGGTCTCATTTCTATGGCAGCGTGTTTCAGCGGCGTATAAGTACTGCTTATACTCCGTCTGAGTATAAATAAAATATATACTTAGACTCCGCCGGAGTATAAATATATATACTTGTCCAAAAGGTATAAGGTTATATGACCATCATAAAAGTAGTTGACCGCAAATAAATACCCCCTTTGTGTGGTTCGCACTAAGCTTACCGGTTGGCAATAAATCGTCTTCTGAACATTTCTTGCTCACATTTAACAGGGCCGGCTTTCAAAGCGAGTGGTTATTTCGGAACCCTCAACGGCTGCAGGTAGTAAAGAAATAGTGGAGTAGTGGATTTTCATATTTAGTGAAAGCCGCCCCTGAACGAAACCACAACAGCCGGTCGAGCTGCAGTGGATGCGTTATTTACGATCCTAAAACCTTTTCTATTGTAAACAACTTAACTTCGACACAATGGGATGATTTTATGATGGCCATCTAACCTTATAGCTCTTGGTCCACTATAGAATGCGTTTCTTTTAATGAAGCAAGGAGACAGAAAATAATTGTTTCAAAAGAATATTAATCGTTTCAAAATAAAATATTGTATTTCATTTGGACTTGATGTGACTCGTACAGACTTAATTTTTTTACAAGTCTATAGTGCCTCACATGAAATATCAGTTAAACTCCTACCAAAATAATCAACTATTGATGTAAATTAAATGTCCCTATCAATCATGGTAGTTTTGGCAACAAAAAATAAGGGGGGAACAGGTCTACCAATTTCAAATAAAATTAAGTGCTACCAACTGAAGCAGACATTGTTGATTACGGTAATATGACGAAGTTTTGACTAACGACGTAACGATTTGTACCATAGGAACAATGGTCTCAACAATTATTCCCATGACAATTAAACATTTTCAGAATAATGCCAACTGTTACTCGCGTGAATAATTTCAGTACTACTATCTATCGAAAAAAAGTCCTCTAGTCAGGCATCGATTTTTTTTTTCATTGTGTTACCAAAATCTACACCGTCAAAGCTGTTCGTTTAGTTGTGGGTTATGAGAAATCACCGTTTTCGTGCTTGACTTCCTTTCAGCAATAACTTTGGATAATAATTATATGTTGTTTTAACAATTTTTTTATTACACTAATAATACAACTGCCAAACTGACAGGTAACTTCAATGGAACACAACTGTATTGCCACCAATTTTTATTTTTCAAATTAATTCTATGGCTGACTAGGCGACGTTTTTTTTTCGATCATATGGTATGTCATAAAAAGACATCGAAATTGATTTAAAACACATAACGCAATATTTAAGTTGCAGGATTTAATGTGGGCTAATGCATTTACAATCCGTTTATTTTAATCACATGAAGTTTTATTAATTAATAATATGGTCACCCTACAGTTGATACCCCTGACCTACTAAATGAATTTAAGCCTTTAATTTGACATTGTTAAGATGGCACTTGGACAAAACCTCCCGCGCCTCTGAAGTACAATCAAACACATCCAGTTTTTAAATAAAGTGTAAAATTTGATTCTGCGAATTTTAATTTTGCTATCATAACCCCTATAAGTTAAAATACAATTCTAGGTGTGGACTGGTAAACAATAAGTAAAAAAACAAATCAATCGATGTGGATAAGTACAGTCGGTGGAATAAAACTGGTACAAATCTGTCAAAAGAAAATAAGGATAAACTAAAAATTTGTTTGAGCAAATTAAACGTCAGAGCAAATATGGAGTGAGCTGATGATTTTCATCTTCAATTGTAATTTTTGAACGTCCTGTCTTGTTTCCGTATTAAGGTCCCAAAATGTTCAATTTTTCTCTTCGCCAATAAAACTGCACTTTCACCGACATACAGTTCATCAGCAATAGCTTTTAGATGCACACCGTCGTCTAGTCTTTGTAAAATTATAGTCTTTTGAAAACCAGTTAAACGCATTTTTAGATTTCTATTGCAAAACTTAAAACTAATGTCTTTGCCATTTCTATTGAAACACCACCTGTTGATTTTGCTTAAAATTTAGCAATTGGTAACAGCTTTCGGTTGATTGACAACGGCTTTTAGTTACAAAATTGTCTGAATATGAACGTTGCCAAATTTACGATTAACAAGTGGTGTTTCAATAGAAATGGCAAAAACTATATCAAATTAAATTTTTGATTGATGATTGACAATTAAGCAGCTTGTTACACATTGATAAACTTTTACGTGTACCATTATAATGTCCACCGACTATACATTGTAATACTAATAACGGCACTATTCTATTATATTCCCTGAAATTTCAGCAAAATTCAATAAAATGAGATAAGGCGCTTTTGATTTAATCAAGTCATTCATTAATTTTTTCGTTGTCTTAATTTCTTTGAGACATCGTATGTAAGCAATTTAAATAACAACTGTTGTGGAACTGATAACGCGAAACATGCAGAGGTCGCCAGTTCTATCTCATCTTTTAACTTACAATAGTTCTCATAAAATAAGTAAAATTTCGCACAATCAAATTTTATAATTTTTCGAAGTAGCTGGATTTATTGAACCGTATTTCAGGGACGAAGGAAGTTCTGTTTAAATAACCTTACACCAATTTGTTTAATTTTCAAATTGAATTGTAAAATGTTATCAAATTTAATTTTTTTTACAAAAATCTAGATGTTGAACATTAAAATAAGGAATTAATAAATCACAAGTATAGAAGGCTGTTATTTTACAAAATTGTAACACAACCTCCTCTGCAAAATTTTGAAATGATGGGAATAATAATACAAATGTTGTTTAATGTTTTATCATCTGCACGACATTTCTTAAAATATATCTAAAATTTCACAACAATTAACGACAGGCGGAAACCCTATTATAATACTTTCCCATGAATATTTGTGAAAAATTGCAGCTTAAATTGTGTAGGATATATTATTATTATTGCACGCTTGAGCAGAGATTGCATACTCTGTTATGCCCGCGTGAATAACAATAGTTCTCAACTTTATTAACTTCAATAATACAATTACAACAAAAACAGATTACATCTCAGATTATATGTCCCAATTTCTTCCGGGACTTCCCATATAAAAAACATTACTTAAGGGCTTTATAGTTTGTAAATTAAACATGAACCAAGGATTAGGTATTGTGTTATACTTATATAGTATTGTACCGCCCTGTCCCTAATAAACATTCGCGGCTGATGTGACATTAAACATTTAATAATATTAATCAAAGAGTTTAGACTCACCCTTTCAGTAACTTTATCTATTTCATGATAGAGAAAATTGCAGTTATTATCAAAATGTTGATCCCGAAAGGCTCCTTTTCGAATGACCCTATTTGGAAACTTTCCTTTAACATCCATGAAAAACTTCAACATCTGATTGTTCGATTTTCCAGAAAACAATATTCTGCCTGTGTACAATTCATAAATAGTACAAGCCGCTGACCACATATCAATTCCATAATCATAGGGAATACCTAAAATTATTTCAGGTGCTCTGTAAAATCTAGACACCAAATAGGGTGTAATTTCATTATCATTTATATATGACGCCGAACCAAAATCGCACAATTTCAGTACAAGTTTACTTTCATTGACTAATATATTGTCAGGTTTAATATCTGAAATATTGTAATTATATAGTTGGATTTACTGTATTATTTGTTCTTACCTGCATGAAGAATGCCAGTCTTTTTTAACAATTTTAAGGCTAGCAAGAGTTGTTGTGTATAACTCCTAACAGCTTTAATGTGCAAACCAACATCTTTTCCATATTTTTTTAATACTTCTCTGAGGTTCATAGCTAATGGTTCAAAAACCATACACAAATGCTGTTTATGGAAAAAGTGTCGAATTAATCGTAAACAGTGTAATTTATCTTCAGGATCTGCGTCATTTAACTTCTTTAGAATTTCTAATTCTTTTAAGCCGGTTTTGTGCCTGGAAATAAACGCACATTGAATTAAAATAAAAATTAAATAAAAAATTATTTACTCACATTATTTCATTATTTCGAATTATTTTTACAGCAACATCTAGATTTGCTCTAGCTTGGTCTCTTGCTCGAACTACATTACTAAACACACCCTGTCCAGTATAACCATAAACCATATATCGTGAATCTAATATTTCTCCTATTCTGACCCTATAGTAACCTTCTGCATCGTCCCAATTATCAGTTAATGCCGGATTTTCAGCTCCAGCGCCTTTTGTAACAATAGTATTGGGTGACTAAAAACAGGTTTGTTAGAAAGAATATATGCAAAAACTAATAACTAACATTTGTATCCTCTTTAAATATATCTTGATCAGCAAACATATCCCAGTTTGGCTTTTTACCCTTATCCTTTTCCTTTTCATTTGTGTTTGCCTTAATTTTCATGTTTGGTAACAACGGAGGGGTATGGGATTCTTCTACTTCATCAATTTGTGTTTCTGCATGTTCTGGTGTGTTTTCCGCTATGATTTCTGGCTGACTTCGTTGAATAGGCTTTGAAACTTCATTATTATCTTTTGGTGAAGACGGCACAGAAGTATTTGTATTTGAATCTTCGCTAACACCTCCTAACCGCTGCAAAGTTAAGAAATGTTAAATATACTTTTCAGTACTTATAAGCCTTAACATCACGATGAATACTGAGAGTAATTTTATTATTTTTATTATTAATTCATTTAAGAAATTTATTTTTGTCAAATATAGAATGTATTCATTACATGTATGTGTATTTTTTTTATATTTTTAATATTAAATGTAAAATTGTAAACAAATGATAAGCCTGCGAGGTAATTAAGTCTGTCGAAAAAAGTTCTGTAAAAAATGCAACAATTTATACTAGACATGTGTGTTCAATTTTGAGTCACAACACACATTGTCTTTTCATGAAGGATTTTTATATATATGAACAAAAAATATCAAAAATACGTAAAATGTAGAACAATTTCTTACACAGCAAATCAAACTGTTTAATAGGAATTTATCTAACAAAATGTTGTTTTACACTTTTTCAAGTTTAAAACCTACGCGAGTATAAATCATGAACGTTCTTGCTCCCTTCGAAAACAAATACATGGTTGCCAATAACGATAACTTCGTTAGTCACACATACTTTTTTTGATTTAGACACCTGACACTAGTTTGCACTTGTTTAAAGATACATCGTTTTATGGTTTTAACTTTAATTGTGCTGCTATTTGAAACAAAGAAAAACAGCCGATTCATCCAAGGATGATGAAACTAATTTCTTTACAACAATTGAGTAACAACTAGATTATGAAAATGTGTTTAGCGAGTAAAATAACAAATTAGCAAAAACTACTAGTAGTACAGTTAATTCGCCATGCGGTTTTCAGGACTAGGGGTGTGGTCATTCGGGCGTCATTTTGAAAATAAGGGTGCACTTATTTTTTTTATTAATCTCTATAACTAATAGTTTGGCAAATATTTTATACCAAAACATTTTTGAAAATAATATAACATTCTAAAATTTTTATTAAATATTTATCAGCGAATGTTAATAACTAAAAAGTTCTGAGCAGAAAAATTGAAAATTGGGGGACGAAAATTTCGCACGCATTCTGGGTAGGTAACGAAAGATTTTTTTAAAGAAATGTAAATATACGAATACAGTCACATTTACATTGCTAGAACCAATAGTATTATTACCGTTAAAAATCCAATCAAAACTTGAAGCAGATTCTAAAAATTTATAAACATGAAAATTCAAGAAAAAATCGACCTACGAAATTAAAAAAATTAAAATCGCATTTTAACACCAATGTTTGCGGAATGATCAGGGACTTTCCAAATTCGCATACCGACTCTTGAGTTGTGCCGTTAAAATGCGATTTTTATTTATTTACAATTTCGTTGTATGTCCATTTTGTCTCAAATATTCACATTTTTAAAATGTAATTTTTCTGCACTTTTTATCACATCACATTTTAAATCTACTTTAAAAACCCATAAACATGTCTTTAAATTAAAAAAAATCTTTCTTCTTTGTTATTTGCAAGACACGTGTTCCAAAATTTTCAGTAAGAGATATTTTATTACTGAGAATTTTAAAGAGATTGATCTGAGACAAAGTATGTAGTAGTCAATATATACATTTAAAATATTTATAAAAAATGAAGATAATCAATACGAAGTCTTTTTTCCAATCAAATATGTCTGAAATCAAACCGTGCATCAAACAATGCGTAAATGCGACATATCTCAGTTAATGCGTCGCATCCAAGTCATCGCTAGAATTTAAAAATTTTTACCTCAAAGACAAAGACCGATGTTAAATACTTCTTCATTACAAAAAATTATTTTAAACCTCACTCTATAACTTTTCCGCTAATCGGCTGCAAAACCTTCAATAAAATAAAAAGAAACCTCGCATGTTGAAAATTTCAATACACCTTTTATGCAACAAAGAACGATTTTTTTTGAAGAAATTTGAAGACACTAATACAATAAGTGTACATTATTAAAATCAGTATTGTATTAATGTTTGGTTATATTACTGTTAAAAACTAGGGCAAAATTTTGAATAGTTTTTGAACTTGAAGAAATAATTTGATTTACTTACTATGAAATTTTAATACAAAAAAATCAAATTTTGACACGAATAGATGCAGAATGAAAAAACTTTTTGATAAATTGTATTATTATTATTATTTGTGCCCCTTCACAGACGAGTCCATTTACGAAGAGACAAGATTCATCTACCAATTTCTTCAGAAACTGGTAAGGTTTTTATAACAACTAATAATACCGCCGCAAATTCTCCCACATAAAATGCATTGTTTACAGGTTTTCTACACTGGTAACTCAAAGTGGAACACAGATTAGATATAAATAAATCTTACCTTTAATAATTCTTCCCTTTGCTTTCTTCTTTTTTCTATAATTTTCTGTTCATCTTCTTCATCATCAACAAGATCAATGTTTACATCAATGTCACTGTCACTACTAAGTCCATGCTTCATTCCTTCACTTAAAGAATCCTTATATTTATCTTGTTTTTCAGGTCTGTTTGTTTTATAGTATTCTTTGTTTTTTCTATCTTTTGGATCATTCCTACAGTGTCCTCTATCTCTGTCTGAGCGATATTTGTCCTTTATTGTTTCATATCTTCGCTCTCTAGATCTACGTCGTTCCTTGGATTTTCTGTCTTTAGCGTGGTAAGATCTATCACGGTCAAATATGTACGACTTGGAACGTTCCCTTGAACGCCGTTCTGTCGACCTCATTACTTGATTGCTGATTCTATGATATTCTCGATCTCTGTTCAACCGCTTATCGCAATCTCTCCCATGTCTATCTAAGTCTTTATACATTTTATCCCTGTTTAATTTTTCATGTTCCCTGTATGTCCTTTCTTGACTATGTTTCCGTTTTAAATCATCCTTACTGTAATGATCTTTCCTTTCAATAACAACCCGACGCTCTCGACTGGGAGACCGTTTGGCTTTTTTGGGTGGTATAATGTCGCCATCATTACTTGAGTCATCTAATAATATAATTTCATCAACAATTTTTGGATCTTTCCCATTTTTCTTTGGGACATTTGGACTTGTACTAGATTCCATTTCTGCTTTAGCTATTTCGGCTTGCAATAATTCTTTCTGTTTCATTAACTCTTCTAAATCCATATCTGCTTCAATTACATTAACATCTATTGCATCACTATCACATTCCGTTTCTGGCACAGCATCTTCACTTTCAGATGATATGACCTCAAGAGAATGGGATTCTGTCAGACCAGACATGACATAGTTTGCGACTTCATCTGTGTCACTTTTAACCAATTCCTTGTTTTTTGATGTCCCTGACAAAGATTTACCATTAATAATATGATTAACTTTTTTTTTACATACTGCAGTTGTTGACTTAGGTGATAACTCGGGTGTATACCGATCATGTTTGTCACTCTTTGAAGAAACCCTATCTTCTGACACATCCCTTTGTTTCTGTTTATGTTTCTTCCGTTTTTTGTGTTTTTTCGTTTTATCTGACTTTTCACTTATGTGTTTCTTGTGTTTATGTTTGTGTTCCTTTTTGTGCTTCTTTCTCGCAGGGCTATCCAATCCGCTTTTAGTAGTCAATTCTACTTCACCTTTGGATCTTAAAAATAAGGTTATATATGAGTTATCACGCAAATGACACATCTGATCAAATTTTTGCATGTGGTTTCTACTTACGCTTCATCCATTTTATTAACTTAGAAATCGCACTTGTAAACAGTAGCAATCATGGAAATCTTCGGGAGCAAAAATTTGTTTAAAAAGTAACCTACGTACAACGCTTAACAACCGTTTTCCAAACCTCCGCTGATGTTGTGTTGATAGATCAAACATGAACCAATCTGTCACTACTGTCTTTTATAACATTGATACTTGGCTCCATCTATTGAGTTCTTCATAAATTTATTATTACATGGCGCTAAATTTAAACTGAACCATTTTGTGTAAATCGTAGATCCTAAATTTATTCATTAAATCTACTCGAAATGGGTAATACAATAATATTACTATTCGCTGCGAAAAAACTAAACTTATTTATGGTTTTCTGTCGTTATAGACCTTTCGCACGACAACAAGCCACCGATTCAGTGGTACCAAACAAGTGAAAAAATTGTAATATTTGTCCGCATTCAAATTTAAGTTGGCGACAATGGATGTTTTAAAGCAAGCACCACATTCGATTGGTGGATTTGATGGCACCAAATTTAAAATGTGGGAAAATCTAAAAACAAGTTTTATTGTGCCCAATTGCTCCGTTTCTAAATATATATGATACATTTAACATTTAAAATACACGCCATTCCAGTAACTCATATTTTTATTTAAATTAATTTTTTAAATTTTCTAAAAATTGTTTTGATTAAATTAAATGCTTTTCAAGGTGTATTAATTTAATTATAATTAACTACCCCTAATTTTAAGTATAATGATTGCAGTTTAAACAATAATTTAGATTAGTTTAGTACTGTCTAGCTTGACAAATGAGTCTTCTTTATTAGTTTACAATAAGTACGTACGAAACAACAAGTTATTGTGAAATATATTATTACATTTAAAATTAGAGATATTTTAATTTTAAGCAAAACAAAAAAAAATCGTTACAAAAAATGTTTTTTTGATTTATCTGAATTTTTATTTTACTATAAAATTGAGAAAAAAATACTCTCTAAAGTTCAATATTTATTACTTTTGATACGTTTTATTTGCTTTTGAAAAACAATATTTTCTTAAAGCTTTTCCTTGCTTTGATTTCTAAATAAGTAAGTAATATGAAGCAATTATTTTTGAGACTCATGAAATAATTTAATTTATTTTGCTTTTCTGAACAATCCAATCCAACATTTTACTAAATTTTAAAAAATAAATAAGATAATAATAAAAGGGGCCGATTCTGTAATTTTTAACAGTGTCTACGTTTATATAGTAAATAAGGGCATCTCATTGGTTTACGCCGTAGTAGTTAGATTGGTTAGTGAATTTTAGAATAGGACATAAAAGTTTTAATTACAACACCCCCAATGGTCACAGGATGTGACATATATGGTGGAGGTGCAATGTTAAAATTTCGGGAGATAGATCAACATATTTACCTCAATTTTGCTTAGTCCAAGGTAACAAACGTGGAACGCATAATGCTGACGGATGTGTTGTTATTAACTTTGCTATTGGGAAATAACTAATAACGTAATGTGCCACGTCGAGAAGAGCGGACATTAAGCAATCTAGGTCAGAAGTCTGGAAAAACCTTAGATCATATAATAAATTGGTGCGGTACAAGGATGGAAGTGAAATAGACATATACAGATGAAATGCATATAACAAAGATGAAGATGTGGTGATCACACAAGGATAGCATTATACTACTCCTCTTGACGTAGAAAACGATAACAGATAGCTTCATGTCTAGTCACAGCTTTCAGTTTGAGTATTGGTATCTATTTATTATATGATCTAAGGGAAAAACGATCAATTTTTGTCTTTTGAATGTCGGAACCGAAATAAAAACACGAAGTTAGAGGCGGTAGCTAGAGGAAAAGCAACACCGAAAATTCGTACCCAAGGGCCAAAGTATGGTGTTTTTCGAAGAAACGAGTCTCAGATTCGATGTTACAAGAACTTACAGAGAAGGGGGAACCAGAATCCGAGAAAACCGGAACTGGGCTCGAAGGAAGGCGAAGACAAAGAAAAAAGTGAAGATGAAAAAGGTCATACGGACACAGAAGAAGACAAAGAAGGAAATGGTATAGAAATAACAGAAGACGAAAGAGAAGGTGATACGGAGACAGGAGAAGACGAGGAAGACAGAATGGCGAACGTTACCTACAAGAAGTTTGGGCAAAAGCTAGAACTCCAACACTGACAAAATTTTTAGCTCCTCCTGTGCTTAATACAGCAAATTCCGACCCAAACTGATTTATAGATATGTAAAGTTCGAGCATTTGTACAGTACCTAGTAAAATTTTATTGGTATTTCAAAGTTAACCATTGTTCCACCACTTTTCACTTCTGAAAATAGATGATAAATGTATACACATTTTTGCAAATTCGAGAATAAACCGTCATAGAGTCAAGTTGTGTTTCATTGAGGCTATATTAATAGCTTCATTTTTGGTCACCTATTGTGACTCATCATTTTGGTCATGCATTATGACCTGGTCCTTCGAGAAAACAATTTCGTTAGGTCACCCATTTATGATCTGACAACGATCAATGTTGGACTCACAAAACCACAAATCACAAATTCAGGCGCAAGAGCCCAGTTCGTAAAAGATCCAGGTTCCAGGTCCATACTGAAGCTTTTGGCTCATCCTTCGAAGAATACTGGACGGATACACAACTTAATTCTTTTAAGATTTCCATAGAAAATGGATTATATTAATCAAGAGTAGTATATGCTTATGTTGATGATTTTATAAGTAGATAATGCGAAATACTTATATTAACAAAATTGACGTATATGCTAACGCTGTTAGCACTTGCTTTATCTGTATATAATATATACAAGGTGACTGCGAAATACATGCAAAAAAAAAAAATGGGGAATAGCTCACAATATGATTATGTCACTGGGTAAAATTCACGGTCCTAAGTAGTAGCAGTGTCTAGAAAAAATTATTTGAAATTAAATGTAAATTGTTGTACGCGCCGCTGGACTGTTTTGTGACCTACATACTTACTACAATGAATGGAACAGAGCGAGTCGAATTAAGAACCAAAAAAGTTACTTTATCAGGCACTTTTTTAATCGCAACGTGAAAAACACGAAAAGGGCCAGTTAGCATCGAGCGCTCGGTGAAATCGGTTTATGGTGGAGTTTTCCCATGCAGATTGTGTCGAAATGGTAATTGGTGTGCGTGAACATTTGCATTAGTGGTACAGCAACTCCGAGATCATGGTACCTTCAACTTCAAATTCACGATTGTGGCCGTGATAGGACAGAAAGAAGAAGTTGGATTTTCAAAGCTTGTAGTGCATCCTACATTAAAAGAATACGGCCACATCCATATACCATGTTGACAAAGTACAGGGTTTGGAGCCCGCTGATTGTCCACGTTGTGTAACTCACTTTTTGTCCGATGGAACTCCACATACTCGTCAACAAGTACGATTTCAAGAGACGGTTTTCGATAAATGTGTATCAGTCGGATGAAACAGTTCGTTTGTGGAAATCAACAGTGTCCAGAAATTATCGAAGAACTTCAACAAGTGAAAGTGGCAGCCGCTACTCCGGTGTTTTTTTACCTATCAACAAACCTCTTGCGACGCTTTGAGGCCTGTATTGCCAGTCAAGGACAACATTTTCAACATTTCTTGTAAAAAGGTAGTAGAATTCTAAGTGGCTCTTATTTCTGTTCCAATAAACAATGTAAAATCGTTGTGACAAGGACCAAACATCCGTCAGAATCAAAACTACCAAAAAACTTTCACACTGACCTTTAACGATGAATGAGTAAATGAATGAACGAATGATAAGCAGCAAAAAGTCGGTTTTACTTTTAATTGAAACTGAAAGTGTTTAGGTCGTTTTTATTCGAACGTTTTTCCAACTCTGTTTACAAGGTGGCTCAGTGCCTTCGTATCGAGGGTGGTTCATGGGGGTTTTGCCCCATTCGATTTTTAATTTGTTTTTTTTATATTTCGGCTCTACTAGGGTGGGGGATGCCGTGGTTAAAATATTTGCACTTATTTCGCAGTCACCCTGTATAAGCATTTACTTATTGTATCTACAAAAGCAGTAACATTTGAAATATGTTCTTAGGCGTATATTAATAAAAGCAAGCGTTTACTTATGGCGATCAGTAGGTATGTACTTACAAATTTACAGGGGCGGCTGCTGCGGGGGGGCACAAGGGCACGTGTCCCCCCAAAATTACAACGTCTATAAAGACACTGGACATAGCAAAATAGTAATTTTCAATATTTAAAAAAGTATCCGGAGATTTGTGTTATAATTATCAAAACTAATTTTTTTATCTCGCTCCACTTGTATAAAATGTATCAAAACTTACATCCACTTACATCTAAAGATGTGTCTTAGATATATGATATGTTATTTCTGACGAAAAGCTGATAAAAGCCGGGATCAGAGACCGAATCACAGCTGATTTAGACGTTTTCTTTACACCGCTGCCGCCTAATTCACCTGGACTGGGGTCCTGTTCCGACAGTGCTCGACAGGATAGAGTTACTATCGCGGGTTTTAGTTTTCAATCTGCGCGAACACGTATGATAAATATTCTTGGATAATCTTTTCGTTAATACAGACATTCGGAAACAACTACACACCGCTTATATTAATAATATTCGGGCACATAACGCAAGCGTCGACAAAAATCGCCATATATTACGCCGATTGATAATGTCGTGCATAAAATTTTGTGGAGTGTTTGAATTTGCGTTACATGGACATAATGAAAGTAGGGAATCACAAAATCCAGGTATATTTCAAGGTCTGATTGATTTTATGGCTGAATTGGACTCTGCTTTATCAAATGATTTGCAAGAAGCAACGGTTTTTAAAGGAACGCCTAAAACTGTCTAAAATGAACTTTTATAAATGCCATGAACGTAAAATTTTGACCGAAGGCAAAAATGAATGTGGAGAAATCGTTTTTTATTTTTCTTGAATGTATTTTTGTATTTATTTCCGTCACACAATTTCGTCTATTAATTGGTAATAACACTAATAACATAAGAATTGTTTTATGTCATATTTAATTCATCAATCAAATTGTGTTCCCCCATTTCAAAAGGTCACGAGCCGCCACTACAAATTTATCCTTCTAATCAAAGAGTCTATGGTATTAACAACTGCAAATCATCATTAAAACATGTTTGTTGGACTTTGGGCGCCAAAAACATAATATACAGGGGTTTTATAAATGGTTCTAAGGGCGTAGTTGACCATGGATTTCAAAAATCCCGCTTCGCTGAAATTATGCCTCGTCCGCAATGGGACATTTTTAACTGAGAGTGGGTGCATTCTGTAACCGCTTGTAAGCAGGGATATCTGACCTAATATCCTGATTTGCAAATTCAAGAAACATCGGCAGAGGCTCACATTAGAGGAGATGTAATCAACAGATTTGTTCAAACCGGCAATCTCAACTAAGAAGATTTCTTCTCCCTTCAGTATCTGAGGAAGTTGTTGTGAATTTGAGATGACACGATCAGCATGCACAAACATTTTTGACAAGATTGTTTCAGCAATCAGGCGTTCTTATTGCAATATGAAATTAAACAATGGGTCCAGAGCATTGACGAAAGGATGATACAGAACATTTTTGAAATTAAAAAGAGAGTGAATATGTGCCTTTAACAAAATGGTCCACATTCTCAACATTTACTGTGACGTTTTAACTACAATATCGATGTACTTCTTTCAATCTGGGCTCTTCTGAAGCCGTAAGTACTCTAGCAATATTTTTCCCCGCTAATGGGCATGTGTTAGTTCGCCATCTCTGCGTCAACTAGAGCCTCTTCGAACTACAAATCTGTAGCCTCTGGGCCTCTTCGAGCACTCATTTACAAAAACGCCGTAGCATCCCCCCAACATGCCAACATTTTCAACAGTTGTTGCAGTAATTAAATTACTTAATTACTCTTTCAAGTTTACGTTGTATCCTTTAAATAAAATCTCGTAAAAGTAATTTTTAGAAATAATTCTCTCATAACTAATCCGTATCATTGCAAAAGATCAAGAGGTACTCGAAGCAAGCCCTGACAAATTTATTAGGGGCGCTAGCGTAGTCTATCTCCGAGTTAAAGTCCCTAGATAACCAAAGTACCGCAATTGAATGTTTCAATGTGTTAGAGAGAGAACGTGTATTTCGGACACAATATGGCGACCGACAAACGTCAATGTTAATTGTCAAACGCCGTTTGTGTTTTTTGCAAAGTTGTTTGTGTTTTTTGTAAAGTTGTTTGTGTTTTTTTGTTGTGTTTTATGACTTTTATTTTAAAATGCCAAGTTGTTGTGTTCCTTTGTGTGGAAATAAAAGCCGATTGTTTCGTCTTCCAACAGGTAGGTTACAACTGAGTTTTCAATTGAGTTTTCTCAACTAATTTAAATTGTTGCAGGTGTTAGTAATAGGGCTAGACTAGAAGAGAGATGTGGGAGAATTTAATAGGCCGGGACGATTTGAACGACAACTCCAGAGTTTGCGAAGTAATTTGTTTAAAGCTTGAATATGTAATTGCACAATGTTAAATGCTATTTACTTTTAGTTACAACAATTTGAAGCAAAGCGAGCAGATGGAAGGAAACTATTGCGGCCGAAATTTTGTTAATAAACTGATATTGCAAGGTTTCTCATCTATATTTTTTACTCACCCCTTATGTTTATCAATAGCATTTAAGTGCATTGAACAAATAACGCTTAAACATAAATAAATGTTTATTTGAAAAAAATCTACATTTACGCTTTGTACGCAAGTATCGAGTCCGTTAATTTTTATTTATTTATTTTGAATTTGGCGCGGACACAATATGGCGCCCAATTGCGGTACTTTATCTATTTAGTGACTTTACTCCGAGTGGCTACGGTACGACCACAGCATAGATATCAATCAGTAGAGACAGCTCGTGTCGGCGCCTTTGTTCTTTCTGACCCGAATTTTAAGCCGTCATGGGTGGTCGTTGCCTAAACTATTCCTAGATGTCGCCACCCAATTTAAAAAGTATCACTTCATTTACAATTTCAAAAATTGATTCGTGTACGCAATTTATTGCAAACTGTCTAGTTTGCTCAAATCGTATAATCGTGAATCGCAATAAGAAAAAAGAAAAGTCGATATTTAATTTATAAACACGATAATTTGTTACAGTTTTTATTTTATTACTTATACAATTTGACAATTCGCACATTCTTTCCCCGAATACTTGAGGTTTAATTATCATTGTAAAAATAATGTAATAAATTCATCTAAAAAGAAAGAGGTTTATTTAAGAAAAAATAAATAAAATAAAAATTAAATTACAAAAAGGAAAAAAGTTAATGCTGCCAAATTATTTTTTTTCTATTAATTTTTTCACCTTTGGCATTTGTAAATTTAAAGCTAGCATTTACAAATTTTAGTGCATAAAATAATCTCATCCTAGCATACAAAACAAGCAAATAATCGTATGGAAAGTTTTGGCATGGATGAACAAATGTAGCTTGCTTATATAAATTTAAAAATTTTAACAAAGTAGTTGTTTGTAAAATTATATTTTCAAAATTTTCACTAAAATTTTGCTCTAATTCACAAATGTAAAAAAAGAAATTATCGTTTGGCATATATAATTTACCAAATAACTCGCAATTCTTCGTTTGGTAGGCCCTGAAATGTGAATATATGCTTGTGTAATTACTTTATACAAGAAGAAATATAAAAATAAGAACAGTACCTGTTAAATTGTTTAATAATTTCAAAAATTTTGCGAAAAAAACGCATTTTACCTAACAACTTAACCCGTAAGCGTAATATCATATAAAGTAAAATTTTTATTTAAAAAAAATTATTACAAAAAAAATACATATTTGTCGACTCGCATAAAGTGCAGGTAATTGGTATGGGTCGACGCAGGTAAGAATAATTAAGGAATTCATGAAACCGGAAGTCCATAGGGATTAAGCGACTGCTTATGGGTTAAGCAACGTCTCAAAATAAAACTCAAGATTGTGTAGGTCAAAAAATATATATATATATACATGATGAATAAAAAAATTGTTTATTGAGTGAAGGTCTGCTTATATAATTTTTTGTTACGTGTAGTTTGTTTCTTATTATTTTTATATTTAATTTTACCACAACAACGGAATCATATATAATAAATTTTTATTATTTATTTCATAACCACCGTTGTTGTTCGTTTGCGACGACTTTTTAAACAAAAAGTGTGTTATGTTTACTATCTTTTCCAAGAATTCCAAACACGAGGGAGAGAATAAATAAAAATTTTACTTTATATGATATTACGCTTACGGGTTAAGTTGTTTGGTAAAATGCGTTTTTTTCGTAAAATTTTTGAAATTATTAAACAATTTAACAGGTACTGTTCTTATTTTTATATTTCTTCTTGTATAAAGTAATTACACAAGCATATATTCACATTTCAGGGCCTACCAAACGAAGAATTGCGAGTTATTTGATAAATTATATATGCCAAACGATAATTTCTTTTTTTACATTTGTGAATTAGAGCAAAATTTTAGTGAAAATTTTGAAAATATAATTTTACAAACAACTACTTTGTTAAAATTTTTAAATTTATATAAGCAAGCTACATTTGTTCATCCATGCCAAAACTTTCCATACGATTATTTGCTTGCTTTGTATGCTAGGATGAGATTATTTTATGCACTAAAATTTGTAAATGCTAGCTTTAAATTTACAAATGCCAAAGGTGAAAAAATTAATAGAAAAAAAATAATTTGACAGCATTAACTTTTTTCCTTTTTGTAATTTAATTTTTATTTTATTTATTTTTTCTTAAATAAACCTCTTTCTTTTTAGATGAATTTATTACATTATTTTTACAATGATAATTAAACCTCAAGTATTCGGGGAAAGAATGTGCGAATTGTCAAATTGTATAAGTAATAAAATAAAAACTGTAACAAATTATCGTGTTTATAAATTAAATATCGACTTTTCTTTTTTCTTATTGCGATTCACGATTATACGATTTGAGCAAACTAGACAGTTTGCAATAAATTGCGTACACGAATCAATTTTTGAAATTGTAAATGAAGTGATACTTTTTAAATTGGATGGCGACATCTAGGAATAGTTTAGGCAACGACCACCCATGACGGCTTAAAATTCGGGTCAGAAAGAACAAAGGCGCCGACACGAGCTGTCTCTACTGATTGATATCTTTGCTGTGGTACGACCATGGACACTCGCGTAACCTCCTTTCCGGAATTGTCAAAATGACACTGCCAAAAGTGCCAAAGTCAAAGCAATCTTGGATTAAGCATTTCATTTTAAATTCATTTAGTATCAAGTGGTACAGGTTGTTAGTATTTTGGGTTGCGTAAAAATAATTTTCAGAAATAATTTTCTCGTGACTAACCCTGTATAATTGGTATATTAATAAACAGTAGTATATGCTTATGCTGATGATATTATAAGTAAATAATGCTAAATACATTTGTAAGCATTTACTTATAGCGATCAGTATGTACTTACAAATTTATCAGTCTACTCTTGGTCATGCTAATCAAAGGTTCTATGGTATTAACAACTGCAAATCATTAAAATAAGTTCGTTGGAGTTCGAGCGCCGAAAATATATAAACTGAGACGCGAAAATCCATCCGATCGAGAATTTATGTAAATATATTGATTTATCGCATCAAATATGGAATGGTTAGCGGAACATTTTCTGGGGGACAATGACGAAACTCTTGGTGGAGCATTACGTTCAGTGACCAAAATGAACTTTTTTTTGAGATGCATAGCTGATCCGGGTAAATATTTAAATATAACTACCATTAGCTTAGGACATCCCGAATATGGCCCAGTGAGTGGGTTACAGCTCGAAACGCGGAGCGGAGGTCGCATGTTAAATACCAAACTTAACCGTTTGTTTTTTTTTCGCACTGTCTATTATCTATGTTTATGACGTCATAATTTTTTTATTGATCAAATTAAGAACGAGTCACCCCATTTTCTCGAAAATGTGAGAATACGTACGTCTTTGTATAATAAGAATTCTAATAATAATAATATTCCGAACATTCTGTTCGATAGTGGCTTTAGTGCCCTGTTTTGAGGCAACAAACTCATTCAAATCAAACAAATTTCTACGTAACATTCTTCCGATGTGTAACCAAGTACTTGTCATTAAAGTTTATTAGTACTGCTGAGAGGCCATTTTTCCCGTTGGTTATCTGCTTTAAATACCGAGAGATCGAAACAGAATTTAGTCAAAATTGGACATACACGAAAAGCAGTTTGTCTGAGTTTAAAATATTTTTTTATTAAATGTCACCTTGACAAAAGTAATTTGCAATTTTATCAAACGAAATTAAAGCTTTTTTGTTAGAATCTTACTTCAGAAATGGGACAAAATTTTCAAACGGTGATTTTGATTCATTTTTATGTGTTTTAAAAGTACTTAGGTGTCATAATTCTAATTTTAAACTGTCAATTTAACATTTAATAAAAAAAATTAGATTATGAAAAACGGCTTGTTGTGAATGGCCAACTTCGACCAATTTCTTTTTCGATCTCGGGGTATATGTGCTTTACATTATCCGTACTTTTGTAATTTGCACACTCCCTTGCAACTTGCGCCCCCACGACGCAGAGGCTGCGGGGGTGTTATTTATGTCACTGGTTTTTACTTATTAGAGGTTATCACAAAACAAACATCGCAAAATCTAATTTTATAATTTTTCAAAGAAGTGGAATATGTTGGACTTGTACTTCAGGCGCGAGGGAAGTTCTGTCGAAATAAACTGCGATCAGTTTTTTTTATTAAAGTGGAACAAATCTTGAGATGCAAAAGTATTTTGTACGACGTGATCAACAATACTACAGTTTGAGTTGGTGATAGAATTCTGACAAATTTTTCTTGACCTGTTATTGCCGAATCTGATCCAAAAAGTTCGCGATGTCAGTTTTAAGGGCTCAAGAATAATCCTTAGGCTATGACATTTTAATATAAATAAAATATCGCTGTCAACCATGTCAATTTTGACAACAGGAAGTATGCTGAGGTGATATTTCTGCCAATTGCAAGCAAAACTGAAACAGTATTTGTTGATTACTCTGTATTATTAAAACTAGGCAAATGTAAATTGTCTATATATACTTGTAGAAGCAACTTATGTTTATTTACATTTAGGCTAATTTACTTAAAAAAATATATTTTCCCAGAGATCCCTAATTCTATCCTTGGTCTTTCTTTTGACAATGTGTTTTAATATTTTCAAATTTTTTTATTACCTGTAGGTATTGCCAACAAATTTTTGGCAACAATAAACCGATGCGGTTTCTGGTATCATTTTTTTTTTTTTTGCATTTTTGAAGTAGAGTGTTTCCCAACCCAGTTGGCCCAATTTTGTTACAGCATCTCAGTATTGCAAGTATTTTGATATTATTTAAGTAGTTTATTAAATCTTGCATATTGTCAGTTATAAGTTCCCACCAGATCAATTACAATAAAAATTAAATCTGTATTCAAACAGCATTACATTTATATCTGCAAAACTATTTACAATACAGAAATATAAAATGAGTCAATGAGTAGGTGTTACGCATTTGGTGGGAGAGTCAGTATCCTCCTGGTTATTCCTGTACTGTATTCTAATACGGGGTTTGCGTCTGTTGTGTGTGACGTTTTTATAACTGCTATCAAACAGCTAAAAGGTAAGCTGGCATTTTTTATTCATGTTATAAATTCTTATTATCTCTTAATTTTCATTAGATATCCCTATATTATCGCTCTCAATATTTTTAGTAAATATTTCTTACATTATGCAATTCTAAGCATCTATACGGAACTTTCTGAATATACATTTATTTAAAATAACATTTTTGTTAATTTACACTACTAGTAATGTTTTTACTGTATTATATGTTTATATTTATTTTTTTATGTCTTAAATTTTCAAGTTTACGTAAAAACTGCAGCAGCATGTAACGTTTACAATCCAGGCCACGCCGTTCTGCTAATAATAATTATTAGAACAAGCCGCCACCTTCTCATCTATCTTTAAACCACGATTTAGGTTTTCGCTCATTTCAGTCTTGCTGTATTCCTCACGATGCATTTGAATATAGAGCACTGAAGGTTAAATTCCTTGGGTTTAATATAACTTTGGAGATAGCGTCCTACTAAAGAAAATAGTTACTTTGACAATGAAAAATTGTATTTTCAAATTAAATACGTCTACTATTGTTTAAAGATCCAACAGTTGTTAATTTATCAATGGCCTGATTTCCACATTACAGGAATTTAGAATTTATAAAGATAAATGTGATATTATTAAATATTGATGGTTATAATTACTTTCTCTCTCTCTTTAATGATGGTTATTTTATTTCTGCCGGTTTGGTGTAAACATATGCAGTTATTTTTTAAGTGATTTGAATAAATAATATCGGTAAATATTGAAATTTTCTATCCAACAATGATTAGGTAACTTGAATACTCTGTAACTGGATAATATTTTTGCCATTAGAGTTTTGCAGTTTCTTGGGGCTCATAGAGATATAAGTGCCTGATTTAATAGTAAATTAATCGAATAGAAAACCTGTATGTAGTTATTGTGAGTTTACTCGTTAATAGATTTGGACTTACCTTCTAATTAGATACAAGTTTATATGCAATTTATTTTTAAAAGACTTCGCTTACGCTCGGGAAGTTTTGTAATATCGGGCGACTAGCTACTTTAATGTTTTCTCGACGTATCATGGCTCCTAGAGAGTGTGAGTAGATTTTTATTATTTTAGACAGATAATATTCCAAACTACTAGACCGATTGTTGTAAAATCTTCTATGTTGGAAATATCATGTAGATATGGTTTAGCGGTAACGAAAATTTTGTTAATTATCCCACCAACAATTTGATGACGTCCGCTAATTATCTTGCATAATTAAGATTATATTCCTGTACTTGGGGTTTACGAATCTATCTTGATTTTGATTATGATTAATATTATTATTATTATTAATATTATTATTATACATATTTTTACTTCTCGAGCGTAAGCGAAGATTGTTATAGGGTCATCGGGCGAGTGGCTACTTTCACGTTTTCTTGAAATTTCTTAAGTCTAGAGTACGAAGAAAGTGGCCTCACTGTTTCTTCTGTCCCTGGTTTATTTGTTATCTATGTATCTATCGCCTATGTCAATTTTTATTAACAATAATCTTCGCAACTACTGGATTGATTTTTGTCAAATTTTATGTTTGTTAGAAATATCGTGTAGGTGGTAAAATGCTAACCAAAATTTGTTTCATCGTCCCCATCAATAATGTAACGTCATCATATTATTGATAGGGACGGGGCAACAAATCTCCAAAATTTACGGTAGTAAATGTTATATAAATTTTATAAAATATTATATTTGTGCATATGTGGTTTATGAATCCATAACAATATTTTGCCATTTAATTTTGAAACCGCAAAACTGAGTGTTCGCAAATCCTGCAAACGTTTTAAGGTTATCGTAAGTTACCGTTACCGTTGGTTTTTACTTTATAGAGATTATCACAAAATAAACATCTCAACATTTAATTTTATAATTCTTCAAAAAAGCAGGATTTGCCGGACTTGTACTTCAGGTGCGAGGGAAGTTCTGTCGAAATCAACATTGACCAATTTTTTAAATGAAAAACCCTCGACACACTAGTATTCATTTAATTCCTAAACGAAGAATTACTGACAGAATGGCTTGATATTCACTCTACAAGACGATGCGAACCGACTTATTTATCAAACCACCCTCGCAAGAGCCTTCCCGATTGAAATCGGTTCTTCTATTGGAGAGCTACAGTGCAACAGGCACATCCACAAATAGATAAAGGATAAAGGCTTCAAAGTTAAAAGTGGGTTAAATGATTACCATCAAACTTAGCTGAGAGCCATTTCGATTCAACCAGCTTTCAAACAACAAAAAAAACGCATTAAAATCGGTTCATCCGTTTGTGAGTCACGGTACCACAGACAGGCACACACAGAGATAATGGGGTTATAACACCCCTCTTTTTCAGTCGGGGGTTAAAGATAAAGAAATGGTCGAAAGTTATTTGAATGTTACTTCGCAGCTCCTGCGCCAAACAAATTCCAAGATGGAGCGATCCACACACGTGCGGACAATATGAAACATACTTTAAGCAGATAACCAACGAGAAAAAGTGTATTATTATTAGGGATGTACTGACTAGTGGCCGACCGGTCGGATAAGCCGACTATTCGGCCGTTTTTCATCGTCGGCTGCAATCGGCGATTGGTCGGCTAAACAGCCGATCGGTCGGCTTTTTTTATTAAAATTAAAATAGTATATAAAACAATTAAACCCGGTTTACAGAACCTCAATTAAATATTTAATAGCGATTTAATTTTTAACCCCGCATTAAAGTACCATGTGACCGACTCTATGCCAATTAGACGTCGCTAATGGCCTTGTTAAATGCTCGATCAACTTACTCTCAGTTAAAATATTGTATTAACTGGCCCTAAATTGTGTTATTCTTTATTTTTGTACTGAGTTACTAAAAAAAATTAATAAATGTTAAAATTATCCAAACAAATTTAACACATTTTTTGGAAAACAAAGGAACTTCAGTTATTCCTTTTATTAAAATAAAACAAAATTTTAAGGTAGTCAGAGAAATAGAAAAAAAAAACACACTGTGGCATTTATAAACCGGTTTTAACAAAGCCGAACAGTCGGCCGACTAGTCGGTTTTTACTGGCCGAACAATCGGCTAGTCGGTTAGTCGGCCAGACCTACAGTCGGTACATTTCTAATGCATATGTATTAAAAAAAAAAATGGTCTAAAGAGTTTAGACAGTACTTCCCTCGCTGTCGGAAACCTTGACGACTGCATGCCTATTGTGTTTTTTTTCTCATTACATTTTTGTAGTGGGAATTTAAAAAAAATTGCGATGACGTCATCAACATTTTTGCAAGGACACGTACATCAGTTGGGATAGATGTAGTGTAATACTAAGAATAAAATTATTGTATTCCCAAATTTTCGGGAAAATGAATTGGGTCGTTTTGAATATTGATTTGTTATAATCAATAAAATAACGAAACAATTTACTCACGTATACGGCGCCGGCGTGTAATATGAGAGGGAATTGAAAATCGTGTATGTATAGGCATTCTTAATTTAAGATGACAAGCGTAACAGCATACGTGAGAGTCAAACAGAGAAACTGTAAACAAAACGACCATCGGTTTTATTGCTTCGACTTCCGCTTATTATATAAAACATTGGGTTTTATTTTAATTTTTGACGGTGGAATTCACAATTGGTTGATTATTAACATGTCTATACCACATTCGCGGAACCTAGTCAGCGCACAAAACAAATGCACGTCTGTAATGTTAAAGTAGATGTAATAAGCGTGTTACCCTTAAGTTTCAACCGAGTTTTTACTTTAAAAAATTTTGTGTCTACCAAATTGGGTTGGTCCAATGTAATACTAATAATAAGTGTTGCCTTTAATTTGATCAATAAAATAAATTGACTTCATTAATTTTTTTGAGCCACCTCTTAAGAAAATCTAAAAAATATGAATGGAATGATAAATCACAAGTACAAACTCATCATCTTTTTTGCATTTATTTAGCAAAATTTAAGGGTGACGTCATCAATTTTTTTAGGAGGGATGAACAAATACATTTTGAACAAAAGTTTACCATGCTTATAATAACTTTAAAATATCTCCAAGATTTCAAAGCATTCGGTTTTGTAATTCCTGATTAAATCGATAAAATAAATTCACGCATTCATAAATTTTTTTGAGTCACCCTGTATATGCAAATCCAAGAAATATGATTGGAATGATAAATCACAAGTACAGACTCATCATATTTTGTACATTTTAGATAGGATTTATTCAGCAAAATTTTGGTGTGACGTCATCAATTTTTTAGGAAAGAAGAGCAAATACATTTTGATAAAAAATTTACCATGCTTATGGTAACTTTAAAACATCTCCAAGATTTCAAAGCATTCGATTCTGTAATTCCTGATTAAATCAATAAAATAAATTGACGCATTCATTAATTTTTTTCAGTCACCCTGTATATGCAAATCGAAAAAATTTGAATGGAATGATAAATCACAATACAAACTCATCATATTTTGTACATTTTAGATAGGATTTATTCAGCAAAATTTTGTGGTGACGTTATAAATTTTTTAGGAGGGACGACCAAATACATTTTGATCAAAAATTTACCATGCTTATAATTTTAAAACATCTTCAAGATTTCAAAGCATTCGGTTTTGTAGTCCCTGAGTAAATCAGTAAAATAAATTTTGCGCATTCATTAATTTTTTTGAGTCACCCTGTATATGCAAATCCAAAAAATATGAATGGAGTGATATATCACAAGTACAGATGCATCATATTTTGTACATTTTAGATAGGATTTATTCGGCAAACTTTTGAGCTGACGTCATCAAGTTTTTGGAGGGGATAACCAAATATATTTTGACTAAAGATTTATGATGCTCTTTATAGCCTTAAAACATCTGCAACATTTCAAAACATTCGGGTTGGCAGATTCAAAATTAAATTGCAAAATGTTTATAATTTTGATTTTTTTCCAAAAATCTGGACGTTTCGGGTAAAAACTCAATTCGGCGTCGTAAACTACATGTGTAGGACTATGTTATTTTA